GGTTAAAAATAAAAAAAAAAATAAAAAATAAAACTAAATTGCTTTATATAACGCACCCGGAATTTTAGTGGGAATACATTTATAATACGAGTATGTATAAGTGAGGTTAGGTTGATTTAAAATCAGTAAGCCTATATGGTATAACTCAATGTGATGTGAATTTATTCAAAAAAAAAATTTTATGTAAAACAGTAGTACCCTAAACAAAATTGAAACTGAAAATTTTGACCGTTAGTAGTGGATTTTCAAACTGCAAATTAATCAAAAATCGATCAAGAAATTTTGAAATCCTGAATTTTTATATAAACTAACGAATTCATATTCAAAACTAACCCAAATGTACAAAATTTAGTAATTTATGAACTTACAGCCATAACCAGCGAAGTAACGGAACCCCAACGCAGCTAGTTACAGGCTTAAAATTATTTATATTTCCCAACAAAATGTTTTTGTATTCCATTTTAGCAAGTTTTGGAAAAGTTTATGCTAATTTATCATGCAATCAAGCAGAATGCAATGGAAGCAAACTAGCAAGGCGTGTATTTGGAAACTTTTTGAGGAAAACCATTGCGCTACAAAGTGCATTTGGAGCCCAAAAGTTGGAATTGTTAGCACAAAAGCGCTAATACAACGAAATTAACATTATTCCAAAAACGAAATCACACACAAAATCCAAGATTGCTTCATTTTATGACACATTTTATTTCCTACAGTTTTTCAGTTCCGCTTAAATACACACACACATGCATACAAGTTTGCAGCTGCTGCAAAGCACTTAAATAGTGTTAACCCTATGGTATTGGGGATAGGTTTGTGAGGTGAAAGTGATTAAACCGTTAAATAATGATAAGGTCTGTTTATTATGTTTTATTTATTTATATAATAGTTGTTGTTGTACCTACCGTGTTCAAGAGTTCCTTTCTTTCCTTCACCAACACCTTAATTTATGTATGTATGCGGTTGAGTTGCTTTTACGAAAGGTGTTCGCGGGCCTTCATCAATACTATGAATCTCTATAATTATTTCACTTTAATATAGATGTTGTTGTTGTTGTTGTTGTTGTTGTAATCGCTTAGTTTCTGCTGTAAGAAATTTAATGCGCACTGATGCATTAAATCGATATGAAAAACTTGGCGTTTTCGTTAATGAGTTTTGACTTTATAGAAATTTAGTTCGAAGTTTTGGCCTGCAAAGAGAAAGAAGAAATATTTAGATGAAATGTAGATAAATTGGGGTTTAATTGGATATTTTAAATAAAAGTTTTAACATCAAATCTATGTTCAAATAAAGCGACAGTTTACCGGTGGACAGAAAATATCGCTCAACTTAGACGAACATGTCTTCGCTTTCGCAGATCATATATGAGATGCGAGCGATACAAGCGGCGAAAAAGGAGCTTAAGCACGTTATCGAGGCGAGCAAAAAAAAATGGAAACAAATGAGCGAGAATGTTAATAAAAAACACTGGAGACTCGGGTACAATATAGTTATGAAAAAACTCGGAGCTCGAATCAAGCCACTCAACTTCAACGTTGTCAAATAGGATGGCATCGTTGTAATTGTACTCTTTTCCGTGAACGAAAAAAGAGTCAGTGAACCAGAATAGGCTACAAGACTCGAGGAACTGCAACTGCCCGCTGGCAAGCTCGAAACTAACAAATCGGCCGGCCGGGACGAGATCTCAGCAGAAATACTCAAAACAATCGCCGCAGAACGACCCGCAGTACTCTTAAATATCTACAACGCCTACCTTGAAGCTGGAATATTTCCTAAAATTTGAGAGAAACAACGACTTGTCCTAATCAGCAAGGGAAAAGGGGATCCCAGCTTGCCGTAAGCATTCCACCCACTATGCATGCTTGACTCAGCGGGAAAGCTCTATGAAAGTCTACTTAAACCTAGACTGGAAGCGTCTATCAATGAAGCTGGCCGCTCTCCCCCACACGAAAAGTCAAATTTAGACGCTTTCCAAAGCGTCTGGGATCCCAGCTTGCCGTAGGCATTCCACCCACTAGGCATACTTGACACAGCGAGACTACTTAAACCTATACTGGCGGCTATCAATGAAGTTGGTGCAGTCTCCCCCAGACAGCTTTTAGACGCGTAAGGTCAACTCTAGACGCTTTCCAAAACTTCATTGAAAGTGTAAAAGTCGAACAGGGTAAACGTATAAGGATTTTCTAAGGGCACAAAAACTGTAAATTACCTAGTCTTAAGACTGGATCCCAGATTAACATTCTGTGTACGCAGGAAATCGCTTATCATACAATGACTTTGATATTGATCAGTCGTTTTGTATGACAGATATATGGTATTGTGGTCCGATCTGAACAATATGTTCACAGATTGTGGCATTATATTGGACAAGACATCCTGCGAAATTTCGTGAAGATATCTTGTCAAATAGAGGTGTTTGTCTTACTACTTATGCTATAGTGGTCGGATTTTGGCGGTTCTGACAAAATCATTTTTCCTTTTATGAGTACTTTATAGTGTCCGTCGTTTCCTTAGAGATGTTACAAACTACAAGGCATATTTAGACTACAAATATTAGTAAATAGCTAATTTAGAAGAATTTAGAGAAGTACCACCGATATCATCGATATGTTGCCCGAACATACTTCTTCTGAAATCTAAATTCGAAAGGATCTTTATAATTAGTATTCTTTAGCACCGCAGACATTTGAAAGAAAGTAACAAATTAATCAAAAACATTGCAAATCACTTCATGAAACTTAAAAGAAAACGTTAAATTATAAAATAAATTTAAAATAGCTTTCATATATACCAAGAATGTGTGTACACGGAATGAGTAACAAGCTTCTGGGACAAACATAATTATATAGTACATATTCGTTGAATGCGATAACCTTTGGCGCTCCAAGAGCATTAGAACCGCCTAGCAGGCAAATTCAGTAAATACTGGCGTACTTATCAAAGTATATTTCATAGACGAAACTAATCACAGCAACAGTTTCGCACTTCGGGCGTCAGCGACGGCATTCAGTACGCTGTGAAACTTAGTACACAAACTTACAACGTAAAGCAAAGCGAACGACGGGACTATGCTTGAGGCCACACTATGGAACAGCATACTCCTAGTGCTTTGGATTGCAATCGTCGCAGGGGCAGAACGAAATCATCCGACAATATTACGCAAACGCAACGAAATGACCAGGTACATGAATTTGCACGCCAATCCGTGTAAGGACTTTTACGAATTCGCCTGCGGCAGTTGGGAGCAACCCTACGTAGAAACGCGATACGAGCAGCCGATATTGAAAGATATGGAAATTTATTTGCGTACGAAAGTGGATCATGATTTGCGCAATATGCTGCAGGAACAAACCAAATTGGAGGATGGCTTAAATGGACGTAAATTAAAAGATTTTTATATATCCTGTACGGCAGCCGAACGGAATGGTGTCGCACAACAGGAGTACTTCAGTCAGATGATCGAAAATCATGGTGGTTTCCCTGCGATACCGGGTTCCAATTGGCACTTGCAGAGCAACAACTACAATTGGCCAGATGTGGTGGGCACATTGCGCTTTCAATATGGCATGAATATATTGGTGGGTGTGAAGATTGGCGTCAATTATTTGTACCCTTTCGAAGATAGCGTCTACTTGAGCGAGCCGGACACTTTTATACCGCCAGAACTATGTAGTGCGGAAGGTACTAATAGGACGGACTTACGTTCCGAAGAGTATGCGATAATTGAAAACGAAGTAGCCGAAAATCTCAGCATGTGGCTAACGCTTGATATGGAGAAGGCGCAAGTGATTGCCTCCGATTTGGTGGCGTTTGAGTTTAAGCTTTGCACTGGTATAAAGAGATGGGATATCAGCCAGCTCGCCGTGAACAGCAGTTATAATAGTGATATACGCAAGACGCTTTACGATTTTACATATCAATATGATAATAAAATCGACTTTGTTGCGGCCACCCTTGGCACGCAAATACAAAAGCCCGTATTCATGGGTAACGAGGGGTATTACAAGCAGCTAGTCAAAACCTTAGACTCTACGAATAAGACGACAATCGCGAACTACATTATGTATCAGACATTGGTGGCCTTAAGTTTCCCACACAATGATCAGCCGAGTAGCCGCGCTTTGTTCTGTTTGGAAAAGGCAAAGCGTTACTTTCCCAAATTTCTCGGTGAGATGTACCACAAAAATTATGTGAATGTTGCTGCTAGGGATGATGTGGTCAACATGTTCGACAGATTGAAAGAATCTTTCCGCCGGAGTTTACAAAACACCTGGATCAGAGAGCATACACGCCGCATTGCTGAGAGCAAACTAGCAGAGATGCACCTGGCCTTCCCTTACTATGGCAAATTGGAAACGAGTAGTATAAACATAAATCGCGGTGATTATTGGCACAACTTGGACATACTAATGAAAGATCGGCAAGAGGCACAATTCCAACGCATTTTCCCGCCACCACATCCAAATATGTTTGATCAAGTAGAATCGTACGAAACGAACATTTTCTATAGATCACAACATACACGCTTCGAAATGGGTTGGGGACTACTGCAGGAACCGCTCTATCTTACGCAGTACCCGAACTCGATGCGTTACGCTGCGATCGGTCATAAGCTATCCTCTCTGCTGGCTAGCGCCTTTGATGACATCTCATGGAGTACATCGCCTAACGGTGTATTGAATTGGGATCAGTCTACTGCTACGGAGTATCGCAATCGTAGCGAATGTTTCCGTCAACAGATCAGCAATTATCTCCACAATGATCCCGCGTTGTTTACAAATACTACACTATTGCGACAAATAATAGCACAAAGTGCTGGTTTAAATGTAGCATTCGACGCCTATTTGAATTGGTTGGCATTTCAACAGCCCACTGATGATCACGAGACGCTATTGAGAGAAACTCTGCCCGAGTTCAACTTCACTAATACACAACTGTTTTTTATTGCCTTCGCACAAAAGCATTGTAGTGCAGGCTCACGGCGGTCCAGTACAAAGGGATCTGCGCGCACTCTGAGTCCACTTGAACGGCACACGATCGAACGCTACCTAGTCAATGGACCGCTGAGGAATTATAATGAATTCGCGCGAGATTTTGGCTGTCCGATGGGTGTGGAGATGAATCCGCCGGATAAATGTGTTATTTATTAGTTGCTAACATAAATTGTAGATCTTAATTTATAGCCATAAATGTATATAATGTATATTAAAGGCTTTAAAAATACTTTTGAAAAAATAAATCATAATTGAGAGAGTACTTTTGAGTTTATGAAATGAAAAGTTGGAGGATGGAGCCATGTGTAGAAATTCACGCTGAAGGATGAAGCCGTCACTTGGGAGAGGCCAGTAACGATTCTTTTACATATGGCTCAAGCAGTTCACGGCCAAGTATCCTCTGGGAAGCAAAAAAAAAACAGCTTATGTGAGAAGAGAAACATCCCCTACCCAGAGTTGTAGGCTGGGTTTGAGACCCGCCACGTAAAAGATTCCACCAATGAAAAGAAGGTACAATAGATAAGGTACCAATCGTCGCATCCTATATTCGTGTAGCTGCTCTACAGTCCGAACTAATGTGAAATAGTATATAAGACTTGAGCCTTCCCATCATGTATAAGTCATTCAAAGTCCGAACTAATACGAAATAATTCAACAGCCTGCGAAGAGAAAGTAATATATGAAATATCTCATGTACTCACTATTATGAAAGTAACCTTTAGGAACTCTGAAATCGAAATTTATTGGATTAGTTTTATGCCCGCAGGATTAAGAAATTATATCCCTAACACGCTTAGTTTCAACTTAGTCTGGAAAGTAATAGGACTGATTTCTTCCGCTGCGACTATACTGACTGGATTCGGTAGAGGGCGATTTTTCGCGCGACGAGTTCCTGTGAGTGGTTCAAGCCAAAAAGAGTCTCAAACGAGGAGTCAATCGGGTGCGACAAGACATCGCAGGCGATTTAAAGTTGCACCACGAAAACGCCACGGCTCACACCGCCTTTCTTGTGAACAGCTACGTAACCATGGCCGGCATACCAAGACTTCCGCAGCCACCTTACAGCTTGTTTTCTTGTCTGAAAGGGCCGATGTAAGGCAAGCCTTTTGAAGCGACAGAGAGGATCCCTCGACTATTAAGGCTATTCAGGAGAATGCAACTGGCAGCGCTGCAAAGACGCAGAAGGAACTTATCTTGAAAGTTTTTAAAGAATTATAACTCAGTGCTATTACTTTCCGTACAAACACTGTACTCTAACCAACCCGTACCCTTGTAATATGCTTATCTAAGAGAAGATCTTTCGATCGTGGAGGCAATAATACTTCAGAGAGGAATATTTGGCGTATATTTTTAGAATTGTTTACCAAATTAAATTCGTTTCAACGCTCATGGCATTGTAAACAAAAACATCGCTTATGTATCGTGATGACCTTTGAAAGCTCCAGCGCCTCAGCGATTAGTTTATAACAAAGCTCAGCTTATCAGCAAAATGTGCTGATGTTGGAGACGTTGGTGTAGATAGCAAAATTGCTGTTTTTGAAAGTATTTAAAAATTTTCTACAATTCAGTACTGCTTCCAGTCTGACTACGACAAAATGCATAAAAGTGGACCGTTGACGCGAACTTTACCGCTAACTTTAAACTTCATATTGGCTTTGTGCAGTCTTGTGCCGCAAGCTGTGGCTGAACGTGGCACAAATGGACGCGAAAGGGAGGAGCAAATCATGCGCAATGCCAAAGCAGCAGAGGTACTCAGATATATGAACCGAGAAGCTGATCCATGCAATAACTTTTATGACTTTGCATGCGGCAATTGGGCGTCACATCAACCGACATTGTTGGAGGGAGATGCACCGATATCCGTACAAAGTCAGTTGGCGCAACGCGTACGAAAGGACGTACAAATGCTGCTCGATGGCGGCGCACGCAGTAAGGGTCGGACGAATTTGGATGAGCGTAAAGTTAAGGAGTTTTACAAGTCGTGTATAGTAGTCGAACGCTCTTCGTCGTTACAGCAAGCCTTTCTAATGAATTTCATAAAGGAATATGAGGGATTGCCGTTGCTTGCGGGCACCAACTGGAATATGAACTATGATTGGGTGCAGGTAGTGGCGCGTTTACGTCTGAACTATGGCTTTGACTATCTGATTGGTATGGAAGTGGTGACTACTGAGCATTCGCTACCAGGCAAAGCGGTGATACAATTGACCGAACCGGCAACGTCATTGCTACCGCGACACTTGTGCAGCGGAGGTGCTATTTTGGATACGCGGCTTGTCGAAAAACACACAGCGCAATTGCAAATTGAAATCGCCTTGGACTTACAGTCTTGGTTTGGGCTAAAAGAAGAGGAAACCGAACGTGTCGCTGGCGATATTATACGTTTCGAGCTCGAATTATGTCAATATATGAGAGAGAATGAATCGTTGCCGCCAACCGAAAATGATGAGCCCGAACCAAGTGTTTATGAGGGACGAGACTTGGCGCGCCTTTCAAAGGATTTCGGTAATATAATTAATTTTAGAAGGTATTTGGAAACCAGTCTCAATTCAACCGTTGCAAACTCGGAGATTGCAATGAAATCACCGGCTTATTTTAAAAATTTGGCACGCATAGCACGCTTAAACCCGAGACCGACGCTAACCAATTACATAATGTATCGTGCACTGGCGGAAATAAACTTTCCACGCAATGAAACTAGTACTCCAAGAGCGGGGTACTGCGCGCAATTGACCATGCGATTCTTCCCCAAAGTTGTCGGTGAGATATATAAGAATAGATATCAACGTAGCGAAATTAGAACCGATGCTGAGCAACTTTTCGACAAAATCAAAGGCACTTTGAGTGAATCTTTAAATGTAAATGATTTATCAGAAAATGCACAGAGAACGTTGCGTAACAAACTGCTGGCATTTGAGAGGTTACTCTTCCCCATCTACAAGGGTGTCAACTTACGCGATCTGCCACTAGAGCACACCAATTTCTGGCATAAGCAAGATATCGCCATGAAGTTTAAAGGCTACAAAGAGCGTCAGCGTTTCTATGGTGGCGATCCCGATTTGGATGAAAGCCTCGTCGAAGCGTTTGATATACGTATGCAGTTGCTGGATAATGGCATTATGACCGGTTGGGGACTGCTGCAACCGCCCTTCTATGACTACAGTTATGCCAAGTCCTTAAAGTATGCGTTGCTGGGTCCACTTATTGCGCGTGAACTGGCAGCCGCCTTGATACCGGATGAGCTGGAGACAGAGCTTACACGTGATGACTCGATTATGGAAATTTTTGACAATGTTACCGAATGCTATCGCACGCAGTACAGCAACTACTTGTATAATATACCGAATGTATTCTACAATGCCAGCAAATTGCGTGAGCTCATGACAGATAGCGCTGGCTTGAATATAGCTTTCAAAGCTTATCTCGGCTGGCTAGCCGATATGGTTCCGACCGGCAATGATCGGCAAACTTTGTTACGTGAAACCCTGCCGGGTGTGGACTTTACCAATACACAGTTATTTTTCATCGTTTTCGCGCAATCCCGTTGCCATGCCAAATATGTCAAGGAAATGCCGCCAACATTTCTTCCGCTGGATACGCACACCGAAGAACTCTTCAATGTAAATGGTGTCTTGGGAAATAATGTGGAATTTGCGCGTGAATTTGGCTGCGTGCTGGGCACGGATATGAACCCGGATGACAAATGTACCATGTTTTGAATTTAACAAATTTAAATACAAGCAGAAAAACCTTTTCAAAACTGGACCATAAAATCCGAAAATTGGATATTACAAGAGCTCTTGATTATTTATGTGTTGTGTTTCAAAAATAAGAACTTTTTCATGAAATTTCAAACCATGGAACTAAATTGTGTCTCTTATTTATAAGAATCCTTTCTGATATTAAGTCGATAAAGTGAAAAAATAAATATTTTAAACCAAAATATTACAATGTTATTTTGGATATAAAAAGGTTAGTTTAACCAAAATTTCGTGAAAAAAAATTTTGTTTGTGAAAGATAAAATAAAAAACCTCCAAACATTGACATTTGAGACTTGAAATCGCCCGTACATAAATTCACTGTTCATTTTAATTATAACGGGTGATCCAAGTTGAGGTACTTTTGTCAATAGCCTTTTAGTCTTTTGACAGATCACCCGTGATTCGTGTCAAGCTCTCATGGCATTTTTGTTCAATATTGTTTGGCATTTCACCAGGGAAAGACTTACGCCTGAACAATGTTTACAAATCATTTAAATTTTTTTACGAAAATTCACCTTCTGTAAAAAATGTGAATCGCTCGCTTCGCTCAACTTATGATCAACATAATCGCCCTACGGAGCGTTCTATTCGCAACACTATCACCCTTCTTGAGACCCAGTGTTTATTATTGGATAATATTCGACCGATAAGACCACGCTCGGTAGGGAGTGCAGAAAATATAGAAGGCGTAGCTGAGGGTGTACATGAAGACCGTAGAGAGTCGATTCGGCGCCGTTCGCAGCAACTCGGACTGGAAATCTTAAATTGAAAGCGTACAAAGTACAGCTGGTGCAAGAACTGAAACTCATACTTCCCAAGCGACATAGCTTCACTCTATGAACTCTTGAAAAGTTCCAAGAAGATCCGACGTTCTTGAGCAAATTTTGTCAGCGATGAGGTTCATTTCTGCCTCAATTGGTATATAAAGAAGTAAAATTGACGTATTTGGGACGAAGAGCATCCTGAGGAGATTCAAGAGCTGTAATTTCATCCATAAAACATCCGATGCAATTTTCGGTCCTTATGATGAGAACGTAACCGTCAATGGCGACCATTATAACGCAACGACCGTTTATTTGATGCCTAAAATTGAAGCTCGGGATTTCAACGACATTCAGTTTCAACAAGACGGGACCACTTCACACACAATGCATCAATCAATGAATTTATTGAGTGAACACTTCGGTGAACTGATAATTTCACGTTTTAGATCGGTCGATTGCCCATCAAGATCGTGTGATATCACACTGTTAGATTACAATATCTACAAGATCTACAATATCTACAAAAAAACATTCCTTAGGGTAAATTCGATTTTTAAATGTGATTTTATGGAAATATCACAGTACTTATTATAATTTGAAGTATAAATGACTAAAACTAAATACTTGTCAAGAAAAGGCATTCTCAATCAGTAACAGGTTAAACAGTCACGCATAATCGATCGGATTTACAGTTTCACAAAGCATACCTGCAAAACAAAAGAAGAAACAGTTTATTAAGTATAAATAATTGAAAGCGTAATTTGGAATAAAAATACGTTTGAGAAAATATGTGTAGGAATAAATAGAATAGATTATATTTGTTTTTGTTATTGATAATGATGATGATGGCGCCAAAGCGCAGAGTATAAAAACCGTTTTGTTTTGTTTCAATCAGTTACGGAAATCAATAGCCACTTTATGGTAGAAGACTACGAAATTCCACAAATTAAAGCTGCTCAGAAAGTGGGCACAAAGTGGAGGCAACAAATAAAAGATGCGATTTATATGGATAGCTTCAATCAAATTAAACTAACTGTCAATCAAATAAACGGTATTACAAGCACGCCTTAAGTAGCTTAGAGCTGTAGATACGAGCCATAACTTGTTTCAGTTTCTTTTTGTAAAAGATTTATATTCAGAATCATATTTTTATTTATTTATTTTTTGTTTTTAATATTA